TAGTGCTGCACCCTGTTAATTGGCATGTTGCCACATTAGGCTGCAGAACTACTGGGTTTAATCTGTGCAGTTTTACTAAGGAGGAATATTCTGATTTCCCTCCAACTGACCTCTCCACTGCTCAGTGTGTGATTAGTGCAGAACAAACTGCGTCAGCCGAGGCTGCTCAGAGGATTTTGAAACCAGCATTTGTAGTTCCAGCAATTTGCAGAAACCAGCAAAGGATGTTCAAACCATATGAGCAAACCAAGACTTCTAGGTGGAGCTGGTTTGTTTTTAGATGAAGTCAGAAAAATCTATGAGCTTTTTGGCATCCACTGACTTGAAAAGGGGCTTGTGCATCTCTTCCCCTTTGTACCACTCTGTCCAACAAGAGGTTAATCATACCTTTACACCTTGTCTTGTAATCTGCACTAGGGCATTTGGCATGGTTGATCTATTTAGGCTTTTTAAAGAATTTCCCTTGTAATACTTAAACTCCAGTTGTGCACCCGTGCTGTAATCTCTCCTTTGGGAGAATACTTTGGTGCTGTTGAGGTATTCTGCTTTGTAGAACAGAATTTTAATATTGTTTACCATGCTCTTAATCTTACTGCTGGCAGATGAAATGAGTTTCTTTAGCCCTCCCCCTGAGGAGCTGATGGAGCTTCATGGCCAACAGACCCGTGGCATTAGGTGGAGTTATCTCAGCTTTGCAAAAATCCGCTCATCTGCCTTCCTGGAAGGAGTAATTATTGGTGAGAGAATAAAATGTTGATTTTATTTTTGAATTGCATTTATAAAGAGGAGCAGGCAGCCCGATCCATGGGGTAGCTGGGGAGGGGTGGTGAGTCTGGTCCTTGAGAAGCATTTGCAGCTGGGGAGAGTCCTGCTGGCTTGGGTCAACCATTTGAGTGCAGGTTGGCAGGTCAGGGAGGAAGACTCGGGACGTTCTCTGAGTGCTGAAGCAGAGGCTGCTCTGTGCCTGGCTGCCCTCTCCCAGCTGGCCTTATTCCTGGCGTCTGCTTTTTCTTGTTATGAAGGTGAGCTGTTGTGGGCAGCACCAACCCTTTGCTGGGCTCGTCATATGCCCCAGCGGGAGCCTTCTGGGCAGAAATGCCATTTTTTTTTAAGTAGTGTAAAGCAAAGGGCTGAAGGGGCACAATGAGCAACAAATAATATTTGTTTATTGGCTGTTACTAGCACCATATTAGGTCAAAATGAATAATCATCTGGGAGTTGTCAGGTGAGCTTGTTTAATTTCATGGGTCATGGTCTGTATTAATGCAGGACCATATTCCTCAAGCTACAGGTGTGTGTTAACCCTTCCCTTTCCCTCCAGCTGGTGGATATAGTTCCTAACAGTTATAAGAGCATCCTTTCTCTTCACATGTGTTTTTTTTTTCCAAGGCAGCCTTGGGTTTTGTGTCTCATTACAGTAAAAGCCCTGTAGTAGCTGCCCAGCTGCTGTCATGTCCCTCTCTCAATGGTGATTTAGAGCTGAGCCAGCATGGAAACTGTGTTTCCATGCCTAAGGCAAGCCTGTTGGCAGCCACTGTGGAGAAGTAATGTGCCACTTCTGCTTGGAAGAGTTGTCAGTTTTCTAGTTTAGTTGGGAAAAACAACCAACATTGGCTTAGGTTTTAGCTGGACTGTTGGAAGCGTGCTGTAGTCTTCTGAAGGAAGCTGTTCATGTTTCTGGAGGAGATGAGCAGCAAGGACAGAGTGGTCCAGCTAATGAGCTTCATTCTGAAGGAAACTGAATGCTTAATATTCCAGAGGTCTGGGTAAGGATTGCTGAGAATGAGACAGTGAGGAAAGGGGGAAGCTGTAAAGGGGTATTAAATAAAGCTCATGGAAAGGGGGAAGCTGTAAAATGGTATTCAGTAAAGCTCATGGAAAGGGGGAAGCTGTAAACAGGTATTCAGTAGAGCTCATGGATGTGGATTGCCCAAGGCTGGAGCAAACAGCAGCACCTTGGTGTGCAGCTTTGGCACCTTGGTGTGCAGCTTTGTGGTCCTGTTGAGGTCCTGTCATCCCCAGCCCACTGCTCTGGAGATGCTTGGTGTGCATCTGGGCCAGCTTTGACTGTTCCCAGAGCAGCTGGATCGGTGCTGGTGCAAGGAATGGGTAGGAGGGCATGGAAGGAGATCCAAAATCTGGCATTGGGCTGGTTTGTGTTGCTGGGGGAGAATGTGACAGAGCTGAGCACATGGGCAGAGCTGGGAAAGACAAAATTGCCTGTGCACGGGGGGTGTGTTAAGACTGAAGAAACAGGGTACCAAACACTCCAGCATTGCTGTGAAACAGTCATTTTCTATTGGGTGTGGATTAGCTGCCTAGCTTGGAAAGAAGCCATCGCCTTTCTGCAGGAGTTCAGAGCCGGGTCAATGGAACAGGAAAATATTCTTGGAGTGGTACAAAGAGCTGGGGAAAAAGCTGTAGAGTGTTTGAAGTCTCGAGGCAGACAAAGACCGTGGTTCTGCTACTGTGGTGGCCAGAGTACCAGAGGGGCTGGGGAGAGTCCCGAGCTGTGCTGGCACCAGGGCTCTCAGGAACAGGAATTTCACACAGCTGTCAGGCCCAGGGAATGTAGGGCACTCAGAGGACATGAATATTCAGAGGAGCTGTGGCATGTCGTGCTAGAGGAAATGAAAAAGCCAAGTTTTCTCAGAAGTAGGTATCTGGGAAACCTGTGACAGTAGGGGTAAAAGCAAATTTCTGTTCCGTGGAGTGGGTTATCTCAAATGTTATTCCAGAATACATCTGTCCAATTAGCCACTCGTAGTTAGCGCTGGCAGCAGGATCTGCATTGCTTAATCCATTTCTTTGGTGAGAAGTGCCTGTTCTTAGTGCAGGCAATGCTGCAGGAGTGAGGACTTTGCTCCTTTCTCTACCCTGGCATCACTTTTCTTTCCCCAGCGTGCCTTTATGCTTGTTCTGTTGCTAACCAGCTATTGTGGATTTAGTGCTGTGCTCAGAAGACCCTCCCAGCTGTGCTGTCAGGCGGTGGCAGATGTCTCGGGTGTGCACAGTGAGTGCCCAGCAGTGCTGGCTGCCAGGATTGGTGTTCCAGGCACAAATGTGCCCCTTGCAGTGCAGAGCACAGCAGGTGCAGCATTCCCCTGAAAGGCAAGTTACACCCATCTCCCTGGGAGCAGTGGGAGCACTGCTGTCACTTGTGCTGAGGTTCAAGTAGGCCTTGGGGTGGCAGTTTCAGTTCCCCTTCTGCTTTCCTCTCCCAGAAGGGCGTGCTGGAAAGGGCAGGCAGGGATGGTGGTGGCTCTTCTGCCTTCCGTGGGGGAGCATTCCCTGGCAGGAGACTGGAGCACACGAGGATCAGGCTCTGCACCTAGGGAGGAAGGCACAGGATAAGAGAACACAGCCTCAAGTTGTGTCAGGGAGTTTTGGGTTGGATATCAGGGAAAATTTATTCCTAAAAGGATTGTCAAGCCATGGCACAGGCTGTCAGAGCAGTGTTGGAGTCACCATTCCTGGAAGGGTTCAAAAACGTGTGGGTGGGGCACTTGAGGACAGGGGTTAGGGGCTGTCTTGGCAGTGCTGGGTTAATGGTTGGACTCAATCGTCTTGGAGGGCTTTTCCAGCCTAAATGATTCTGTAGTTCCTTCATTCCAGTTCTTGCAAATGGTGTCCTCGATGCAGCACGTGGATGCAGCAAACCATGCATCCCAAATGCATGTGAAAGCTGTATTTTAACAGTGTTAATGGATTAGACTGTAGGGATTGAGGGTGCTTCCTGAGCAGCTTGTGGCTCTCTGCCTCTGATGTTCTTGATCCACTCGTTTGCTGCCCAGAAGCCTGTACAGATACTTGTTCCCTTTCCTAAGCTGTTTAAAGCTGTGATCCCCAATTATGTTTTGGGGGTTTCCTGGCTCTGTTGAGGTGTTTCCCCCTTCCATTCCAAGAACATCACTGTGATGGAATTTGAGCTGCATCAGAGAGAAGTAGCCTGGAGCATGGTGGTCTGATCCAAAGAAGCATTTTCCCCCACACAGCTGAGCAAAGCAAAGCTGAAAAGCCCCACTGCAGAGCTTGCATGGATGGTGACATTGCAGCTGACACTGCAGCCCTGGGATGCTCCAGTGCTCCTGAACAAGCTGAGCACGTGCTGCACAGTCAGCAAGTTGTCACGTGGAGATGATGAGCTGATCTGATGTTAAACTAAAGCCACCAAACTGTGCTTTGCTGCTGGGACCAAAGGTGATGAGATGGCCTGGGCTTCGTGAGGAAAAGGTTAGGCTGAAGTGGGCTGTGGATAAAGGCTGGCTTTGACTCCTTGGCACTGGAACAACCTTAATTTGTAGTTCTTCCCCAGTCACCCCATGCTGTTCCTGCTGACATGTCCAGTTGTGGCTGTCTAAGTTTGAACTGCAAGATTTTGAGGACAGAACCTCCCTTTTTCTAAAATACTGAGCCTGTTTTTACTGTGCTGCAGAATCTGCAAAAATCAAGACACATCGTGATTTCCCCAAACTTAGTTCCCCTGGCATCTCATTTCAGAACTTTCCCCAGGAAAAAAAAAAAAAAAGCTTTTCTACTAAAATCCTGGTTCCTTTTTTTTGTGTTCTCCCCACCCCAGTATGTTCAGAAGTGCCTTGATGCTGTGTGACATCTGAAATACTTCCTGTGCACGTGCTGTGCTGCCTTTGCTAGACAAGCAGTAGGCTGTTCCTTTTTACAGCATGCACATCCCTTCCTGAAGAGGCAGATGTGGAATGTTTTCCCTGGGAACAAATATTACTGCCTTGTAATTATGTCATCTTAATTTTGTTTCTCTTTTCTTTCCATCACAGCATGTGTGTGATTAGAAGCTTCTGATGCCTTCAAAGAGGGGTGACAATGTCACACTCTTGCTAGTTTGGGGCAGGATTTCTGCCCTAGGTTCCCTCCACACTGGTTTTGTGTAGGCTGAGCAGAGCTGATAGAGAAATAAAACTAAATCTGAGCTTTGTTCACACTTGTGTTTTAATTTGTGTGTTGACTTTGTTTCCTGTTTTTGTAGGAATTTCTCTGGACCCTAGTGTACAAGAGGAATGGAAGAGAACACTGGTGAGTATGGTCTTAGATCTCTTACCACAGATTATGGACCTGGCCTGTCCTCCTTGGTTTAGCATCGTAAAGAACCTGATTACTTTAAACTTGGTGTCTTCATTTCAAGTGTAGAAGGTGATTAGAAAATAATGTAGTTTGGCAGATGCATCAGCTGCATTTGTACTGTGGTGTGGACCAGATCTGACTGAAGCTCTGTACATATGGAAGATCTTTTTTGGAATCTCCCATCTGTGAAACCTGGAATACTGGTCTCTTGGCTATCCCAACAACATCCCCTTTCTTAATAAGGAAGAGGCCAGAAGCAATGAGCTGATTTGAGCAAGGCACAGGGCAAGGCATAAAGGAGGATCAGCTTCTGGTTGTTCCTGTTGTTCTGTATTTATTCCTTTAGGCTGCTCTTGTTGCAGAAGATACAGGATATTTAATTTTTTTTTAATTAAAATTTAAATCTCTTGCTTTAGGCAGTGTGTAGTGCTTGCCCTGAAGCAATCAAATTCATTGCTGATAGGTTTAACTGATGCAAGAATATGGTTGTAACTAAAACTCACAGATTTTTTGCTTGGAGATTGCCTTGAAGAGCTCTTCCATCTGTTTGCCTAAAATGGCTACAAGAAAGGAGTTAAATGCCCATTTTTTCCCTGCCATTGACATGAGATTTGCATGAAAGCTCTTGCCTGCACCGTGGGAAACCAGTATCCATGCAGCATATTGGCCTCGCATTGTCTGGACTGTGATACTGCAGTGGGTGATTCTAACTTATAAATAATATTTCTAGGTTATTCTGTGCAGTCAGGTGATGCTATCCTGAAAGCTTTGGGAATGGTTGTACTTGTCAGCAGGGCAGAATGCTTGGTGAGGCAGATGAAGGCCAGGTTTTGGCTTCATACAGAGCTGGTGTGTTGGAGCCCAGTGGCCTGGTTAGATCATCTGCAAGCCAAGAGCTCCTGCAAAAAAGTATAATGTGCTTGTAGTCCTGGTGGCAAGAAGTGCTGTGCCCCCTCTTTGTCAGGCTGTAAGGTGCACATTTAATCTGTGGTGATTGCTTTCCCTTCCGATTTGCTCGTGGCAAACTGACTCCAGAAGATGACTTGTGGAGGAGGTGAAGTGAGTGTGGCACTGGCAGCTGAGGCTGGAGCAGTGCCTGTGGAGGTGGCAGCTCCTGGTGAGCCCTGGGACACAGCAGAGCAGGGCCATTGTTCAGTCCCTAGAGCTTTGATTGCTGGGATGGCTCTGAGCAACATCCAGGCCAGGTTGGATGAGGCTCTGAGCAGCCTGGTCTAGTGGAAGCTGTCCCTGCCACAGATATTCAAGGTGCCTCCCATCCCCAGCCATTCTGTGGTCAGTGAGCTCTCCTCACTCACCAGGACTTGGCCTGTGCTGGGACTGCCACCAGCCACCTCTGTTCCCATCACAAAACTTTGTGTCCCTTTTCACAGGCAGTTGAAACCCATTTTTTGGCTAGATCAGTGAGACGCAGAGCTGGAGCCTTTTGAGGTTTCTGAGTGTTTTGATGAGTGCTGGTGGCCTGGGATGTGAAAAGCCATATGTTCTGTTTGTATTTTGCCAGCTTTACTGAAGTTCCTTTCCCTTTCCCTCTGAACAACTTGAGTGGTGCCAGTTTAGGATGGAGGATCCGTCCTGGATCTTTGCATGCACAGACACCACCCATGGTTGGTCACGAAGCTTTACCTCCTCAGTGCTGGAAGCCAAGAGCCCTGTATTAAAGACAGAATCAATAGATGGATCTTTTATTATAATTTCCTTGAAATTCCTTTGCTTTTATGGATATCCATTCTCCATGTGCTAAGCTCAGGACTGCTGGGTTGATCCCGGAGATGAGGTAAGATGGAGCTGAGCTGAAGTCCAAGTCGGTGCCCTTTGTTCCCTTCAAGCCTGGTGCTTTGTGTGCATTGCTGTCCTTCCCTGGTTGGATATTAACTGCACTCACAATGCTGCATGGCTGGCGCTTGTTTGAGCTGGTGTGCTTGGAATGGCCACTGGGAATGCACAGGGAAGCGTAAATCCTTCTGAGCTGTCAGCCTTCACCAGCCATGGGTGGGTGGGGGAGCCTTCCTTGGCTGACTGCCCTGGCTAATTAAAAATGAAATTTGCTGTTGTCTTCAGATTTTAATTCATGCTCATCCCTGAGGACGAGTGGAAGCCAGGTCTCCAGGCAGCTGCAGTGAAGTTTCAGAGCTGTCCATACATGGTATTCTAGAACAGGTATGCAGCTTAAAATTTGCTCACAACCCTGCCTTAAGTGTAGAGAAGAATACACAGAAACTTCTGGCCAGCTTTGGGGCGTGGCCCTGAGTAGGTGAGGGTACCTTAAGTTGCCACATGTGGGCTTAAACTGAAGGAGGATGGGTTTGGATTGGAAATTGGGAAGAAATTCTTCTCTGTGCGGGTGGTGAGGGACTGAAATGGATATCTCAGAGAAGGTGTGGCTGCCCCATCCCTGGAAGTATTTCAGGCCAGTTTGGATGGGGCTTGGAGCAAACTGGTCTAGTGGAAGTGGAAGGTGTCCCTGCCCATGGCATAGGGTGGAATTGGATGAGCTTTGAGGTGCCTTCCAACCCAAACCATTCTGGGATTCCATGATTTTACATCAGCTCTCTGCAGTAAATTTGGGGGGGTGTGTTCTATATTGGATTGTGTTCTATCTAGTATTTCATCTGTCTGTAAGTCTGGGAGACCTAAAAAGCAAAATATTGAAGTGGAAGCTTTGTGCTTGGCAGGGGAATTCTCACCTTATTGCTCATGGTTCCTTGAAAGCTCCTTTGCCACGCTGGATCAGCCTAAGGTGGAAGCAGACCTGCAGTTGCCTTGCCCAGTAATGAGCAATCATTAATGAACAGGTTCAGAGGCAGCATGGAATGCCTTTTTGTGGAAGGTGTTTGCTGGTGGGCTCTTTGACCTCCTGTACTGTGCACTCCGTTGACAGTTTCTGCCTATGCTTACACACTTCTTCTGCAGGTATTCAGATATGAACTTGTAAGTCCCTAAAAGGTGCAGATCTCTGTGGGACACTGTGAAACATCTGAGGAAATTAGTGAAGTAGCCTTTGCACACACAGGCTGTTACCCAAAGCTGCTTTTTTAGAAAGCTCCTGAAATACTAAGTTTATGGATGCTTTTAAGAATCTTCTGCTTTATTCCATGCTGACTTTCATCCTCTTTGACTTTCATCCTCTTTATCTCCTGCTGTGCTACTTTTTTCCCAATTTTTTTTCCTCCTAAAAATAGGAAATACTCTTCAAGTCCTTCACCTTTGTGCAAACAAAGAAGTAATTTGTTTTAGCATCTAAGCTGATGCCTGAGTTACATGCCTCAGAAAGAAACCAGCGTGATACGAGTCTGCTGCTTCTGGAGACATGGACTCCAAATATAGTCTGAGTAGAGGAAAGAGCTAAAAACATGAATACTTGGTTCTTATCCCACCAGCTCTGCTGCTTTTTCCCAGCAGGATGCATGGCTGTCTGCCTGATTCCCATCTTTATCCCCAAAAATCAGAGCTATAGCTTCAGATGCTCAGAGATTCCAAACCATTATGGAATCACTGAATAGTTTGGGCTGGGAGGGCCATGGGTGCACACCTTCCACTGTCCCAGGTTTCTTGGTGGCCTGTCCAGCCTGGCCTTGGGCACTGCCAGGGATCCAGGGGCAGCCACAGCTGCTCTGGGCACCAGTGCCAGGGCCTCACGCCCTCCCAGGGAGCAATTCCTAATTCCCAGTCTCCCATCCATCCCTGCCCTCTGGCAGTGGGAGCCATTCCCTGCGTCCTGTCCCTCCATCCCTTGTCCCCAGTCCCTCTCCAGCTCTCCTGGAGCCCCTCCAGGCCCTGCAAGGGCTCTGAGCTCTCAGTTTAAGCCAGACTGGTGGAGCAGTGTAGTTTGTACCCATATCTCTGGCTGGGGGAAAGCAGAGGTTAATTCTGCTGGTTTTGTGGTTTCCTGCCTCAGCTGTGGATGTGCTGGGATGGAGATGCCTCCAGGCTGGTTGGAGCAAGATAGTGGCAAAGGCTGATGTTGAGTGAGAAACGTCTTTGCTGATGTGCTTCATGACAGAATTGAACAATCTTATTCCTTGTGTGAAGAGGTGAGACCTTGTAGGACATGCAGTCAATCCTCTGGGCAATTCAGGGTGATTTGCTGTGAAACAGTGTGTGGAGTTCCTGTGGCTCAGTAAGTAGGGCATGGAGCAGGGCAGCAGGGTTCCAGAGTTTCTAGTTTTCTTTTTTAACTTGTTGGACCTTAAATTCACCTTGCTCCTGGAACACTGCCTGTAAATTCTGTTCAGGGATTTTAGTAGCTGATTTTATTGAGTTTGGGAGTAGAAGAGGAGCCTGCCTGGAACCAGGGACAAGCAGATTTAGTATAAATGTGATTTTTGTTATTACTGTTTCTTCACACAGGAGCAATGTGTCCAGGTTGAGTGGCAAACCTGGCCCTTTAAAAACAAAATACCGAATGTTCTCATTATCTTGCTGCCTTTGTGAGCTGTGACTGCCAGTGTTAGCTGAGCTGTTGGCTGGACAAAGCTACTCCCAGGCCCTCAGGCTGGTCCTGAGTTGCAGGCCCAGTGTGAGTGTTTGGATGTTGTCACTGCTGACATCACCACTTTATCTGCTTGGCTCTCCTTTGTCTTGGAAAGGAGCCCTGGCTCTGACTGCTGAAGGTGTCTTTTGTATCCTGAAACAAACAAGAAACCGGAGATATTGGTGGTTTTTGTACAGGTTGGACCCATCCAGCTGTGTGGAATGAGTGGATAACCATGACTTGCATAGGGAGAACATGGCTCTTCAACCCAGCTTAAGTTTGTCTCGTTTTGTGAAGCAGAGATTTTAAGATTTCAAAAGGATTTACTGTCTGGGTTATGATCAATTTGTATTCCCTGGCACATGAAGAGTAACATCCGTAGGAGTTGTTAAATTCCTTGTACAGATCTGCTCAGCCTGAGGGTGCTCAGGCCGTGCCGGTTCTGAGCTGAGCTTTGATGCAGGCTCTGCTGTGGATTCTGGTGTGTGTTAGAGCTAGTCCTAAGGCTGTGTACGGTAGAGCTTTGTACATTGGTGGAACTCAGCTGTGCGCTTTGTTACCACAGAATCCAGAACCCTTCAGGTTGGAAAAGCCCGCCAAGACCCTCAGGTCCAGCCTTCCAGCACTGCCACCACTAACCCTTGTCCTCAAGTGCCACATGCACGGGGCTTTCAAACCCAGCAGGGACGGGCACTGCGCCACGGCCGGGCAGCTGTGCCAGGCACTGGCTACCCTCCCATGAAAAATTTTCCCCAATATCCGATCTAAACCTCCTCTGGCACAACTTGACAGTTCCCTCCTGTCCTGTCCCTTGTTCCTTCATGTGTTCCCATCCCGGGACAGGCTCGGATCATTCCCCGCTGTGTTCCCATCCCGGGACAGGCTCGGATGATTCCCCGGTGTGTTCCCATTCCCGGGACAGGCTCGGATCATTCCCCGGTGTGTTCCCATTCCCGGGACACGCTCGGGATCATTCCCCGGTGTGTTCCCATCCCGGGACAGGCTCGGGATTATTCCCCGGTGTGTTCCCGTCCCGGGACACCCTCGGGATCATTCCCCGGTGTGTTCCCGGTCCCGGGACACGCTCGGGTTTATTCCCCGGTATGTTCCCGAGTTCCCGTTCCCGGGACACGCTCGGGATCATTCCCCGGTGTGTTCCCGTCCCTGCTCCAGCCCCGCCGGGTCCGCTGAGCTGCAGAGCTTCGCTGTGGCCGCCAGAGGGCGCGCGGGACCGGCCCAAGGCGGGCCGAGCTGGGAGGAGCTGGGGGACCCTGGGGACGGGAGAGGGGGACCCTGGGGACGGGACAGAGGGACAGGGGGACCCTGGGGACGGGACAGGGGGACAGGGGGACCCTGGGGACGGGACAGGGGGACAGGGGGACCCGGGGGAGGGACAGGGGGACCCGGGGGCTGGGACAGGGGACCCTGGGGACAGGACAGGGGTAATGGCTTCCCGCTGCCAGGGGCAGGGCTGGGTGCAATGTTGGGAAGGAATTGTTCCCTGTGAGGGAAGGGAGGCTCTGGCACAGATTGTCCAGCGAAGCTGTGGCTGCCCCATCCCTGCAAGTGTCCAAGGCCAGACTGAACAGGGCTTGGAGCACCCTGGGATAGTGGACTGTGGCAGGGAGTGGAACGAGATGAGTTTGCAGGTCCCTTTCAACTCAAACCATTCTAGAATTTTGTGAATTGCATTTCTGTAGGAGATTTTCTCCGTCCCCTCCCTCCCCTTTTTGGGGGGGTAGAAGAGACAAACCATGATGGTCCAAGCAGTGGCTGTGGACATTGGCTTTCGTAGGCAGTGCAATGGGGTCTGATTGGGCTCATGTTAGGCTCAGTGCCAGCATAACAACACTGGCCTAATTGGTGTAGCACAGCTCCTGCTGCACTTGAACGGTGGAATTTAACAGTGTTCTGCACTCCCTGGAAAACTCCCCTATCAAACACACCCCCGTTCCTGTGCTCTGTGTACCCTTTGCTTTCTGTGCTTCCCCTTTCCTTCCCAGCCCCGCTGCACTGGGGGACTCGTTTCCAAGGTGAGGTGAGCAGCAAGTCATGACTTGGCAAGGAAAATTGTTCCTGGAGGCTCTGTGGTGATCCTGGCTGGCTGTAGCTCTGCTCTTAGAGAGCTCATCAACCCCCTCTCCCCAGGAAGGCAGAGTTAGGCAGGGATCTGGGGCTGAACCTTGGTCTTTGAGAGGACTGTAACCAGCCTTTGTCATGTTTTTTTGTTGAAATTCAACCAAAGTGATGAAAAAACCTGCCCTTCTCCCCTCCAGCTCTTTGGTCTTAACATTAACTCTTGGAAACTGAAGTGGTGATTAGGAAACTAAAGTGGGCTCTTTTCTGCAGGGAAGGCAGGAGTTTGTTCTGCCCAGACATTGTAGGTTGCAGGGGTTAAGTTACATTTTGCTTTGGGAGAGGAAAGGAAAATCTCTCCAAGCAATTAACTTAAGATGCTGACGCTAATGAAGGGGCTTTCAAGGCTGGGAGTCGTGGGGGGGTGATGGGAATCCCCTGCTGAATCAATGACATTACCCTGTAGGAGTGATTCTGCAATTATTAGGCTAAAATGATGTTAAACATGAAGTTAATCCTGTTATCGCTCAGATACTGAGCAAACCGAGTGCTCTGGATAGCTCTAATGGGATTATGTGTGTCAGTCTGGCACCCTTGCCCTGTTCAGGGC